TTGTAATGTGGAATAAGGTGATATTTAGTTTTGTTCTTCCATAGGTAATATTTTTTCTTATGTATATGCTTTAATTATTTTTTCTTTGCAATTAGTTTTGGACAATTTCAGTTGTGTGTATCTTGGTATGATTTTATTCATATTTCTTGTGCAAAATGTTCATTTTTCTTAGAAATGTGGTGCAATAATTTTAACTAAATTCAGAAATTTTAAATCTTTAAATATTTATTGCTTACCCTCTTCTACTTTGAGAATTCTAATTGTATGAATATAAGTTCCTTGATTTTGGCACAGAGAGAACTATTATATGATTGATCTGTAAACTCTTCTTCATGTTTTAGACAATTTTTATTGATATATTCATTTAAGTTTGTAAATAATTTTTTTACAATGTGCAATCTATTATTAATATAATGTTATGTATTCATTTCAGAAATATTTTTCTAATATTCACTCTGTCTACATCTTGTGTCTTTCACATTTCAATATTTGTCTATAATTTTTAATCTGCTATATAATTATTATTGATTTTCAATATAGTTAATGAGTACAAAAAAGGAATATATCCCAAATGTTTAGATCTCTAAGAAATGCAATAAAAATTTTAATTAAAATTAAAAAACCCTGCATAGAATAGATGGAACATGAGGTGATGGGATGGGCACCCCAGATTCTCTCTGTCCACCCTCAAGCATCTGACCTTACCTCCTACTGATGGCACACAGCTGAAACCTAAAATATATAGTTCTTAGAGATCAACCTTTGGGAGAAAGCAGAATGGTGGAAAGAATCCCAGGAAGTCAAAGGGAGAAAAGCCTGAACTACCTGTCTTACAGCTTGTGATAGTTGTATTCACCTTAAACCCTTACTACAGTTTTGAGCACATCCTGTGGTTGTAGAAATTGTTATTATAGTTATTAACTCTCATTCCTTGACATCTCTGTGTCAAGGAAGATCTTGCTGCATTGGTGCAGACTCATTTACAAAAGCAGGAATCTTCTGTGATCCATGGACTCAGGGATGCCTAGGAACAACTGGAAATCTTGCATACAATATTGTGTGTTCTTTCTTATTCCTTGCTTCCTTGCTTCCTTGCTTCCTTGCTTCCTTGCTTCCTTGCTTCCTTGCTTCCTTGCTTCCTTGCTTCCTTGCTTCCTTGCTTCCTTGCTTCCTTCCTTCCTTCCTTCCTTCCTTCCTTCCTTCCTTCCTTCCTTCCT